TTTACAATAGATATTCGACCGGAACGTCTTATAAAACAAGATCTTGTAAAAAAATTACAATCTAAAGGAATAGAGTTAAATGGAAAAGAAAATAAAAAAGAATTAGTAACAAATCTAGAAACAGAATTATATAAAGAAATGAAATATACAAAATCGGGTAAGATTAATTAGCAGTAATTAATGTTTTTGAAATACTTAAAATTTGAATTTATGTATAACAATCTGTAGAACAAGAAAAAGTTGAAATATTAGTAAATATTACAAACAGTCAAACTAAACGATGGTATGTTTTATATTCAGTTTGTTATACTAAAAATAAAATATTACTTACCTATTTATTTATTATATTTAGTAACATTAAAGAAGCATATCCATTACAAACTGCTTGGGCCCTAAAGAGAATCAAAAATTTGGTAAAAAAGGTGCAGGAAAAAGAATGACAAATCAAGTGAGAGTATTATTAGAAGGATATTTTATAGCAGGTAACGCAGATAAAAGTAATCGTTACACTGCTCAAGATATGCAACATGAATTGACTAAGTGTGTACAAGAAGGTGAAATTGACACAGAGGACATTCCAAAAATTGTTACAATCCAAAATTGGATATCAAAAACCACTCGAGAATATTGTGAAAAAGCAGCAACAAGAGTTTTGAATTAATAATTCATAAGAATCCAAAAAAACTTCAAAAAATTACTTGCAAATTATAATAAAATTTGTAAAAATAAAAATAAAAAAGTTTACTTGTCTTTTGAATCGTAACAATTTATAAAATAATACATTTGTTTTTAACAATTGAAAAGCTTTTTACTCAAGAATCTGCCGTCGCTATAAAGAAATGTCTTTTTTTTATTTTTACTAAAAAGGAAATAAATAGCACGTCTGAAAATTCTGGTTTTTCTGTTGATAGATGATGTAATATTTCATAAAGTTGATCAAATGTAATGATGCTTTATCGGTCATCAAACATGTCCTTTCAATTGTAAAAATTTAAAATTATGATGCATTTAATTGTTCTTAATCCAATGTTACACAAGATATGTCCCTTAATCTTACGGCAATTGTATTCAATTAAGGGATCGACATCATGCATTTCGCAATTTTTATATATAAAAAAGCCGATTCAAACATTTTACTTATATGTTAACTCCAAAATCTAATGTGTATAATTTCTTGTAATTTTCATACAAATATATT